AGGAACATAAGAAAAAAATAATTTTATCTAAGAAAGGATCTTATATGGTAAATTTCTGTCCTATAATGGAGTAAATAGTTATCTGAAAGTAGGACGAGTATAGGACAAAAATAGAAGGTTCAAACATGTCAAAAAATGGTACGACTATGTCAAAGATGGTACATGGAAGGTTTATGGAAAGAAATGTATGAAAGGAATTCTATGAACAATCTAGACATAATAAAGATGCAAGTCTCCAAGCACTTTCGGATTTCTCTTCAAATTTTATATACAATTCACTTGAGTGCCTGGTTCAAATTATAGTCTAAAACAATCTGTCAGGCTGCCGCTATAGTCCCGAAATACATTAAAAACTCCCAAAGCTGGTACTTATAATAAAGCCACAGAAATTAAGGTTTATCACTTAAGTTATGCTGGCAACCTCGGGCCTTATAGATTTTATACAAAAGGTGATCAGTCACCACCTAAAATTGTCAAAATATATACCTGGCTTTACTTAATTGTTCTACTTCTTGAAGAATGAGGAGTTTCCCTCACTTATTCCTTTTATTAAGCCAGAATCCAGCAACTTCATGCGCACACAATGGTCATGCCAGGATTCCAGTCAGTGCCTGCAAGCGATGCCACTGCTGAAACATCTGGAAGCCTCAAGCCAGACAGGGAGAGATTTTCGATCTCTGGCTAAGCAGGACTACGCCCACTGTCAGCTCTGAAGAAGCTACAGAAAACAGACCTTCCTCCCCTCCGCACCCCATATGATTATGGGATCGAAGGTCTCTAAAAGAGATAGATAAATTTCCCATAGGTAGGTTTTAGAAGGAGTTTAGACATTTTAAAAATTGCATTCTACTGCAGGCCAAGTGGCAGCCTACCCCTCCCCTCGACAAATCCAAAGAAAACTCCATCAGATGTAAGACTAGGACAGTTCAATCTTTCAATTTGCAACTTAGCATAATAATCACTAGGAATCTTTTGGAGACACAAGCAAACTGAACATAGGCATTTGGTATTGCATTGCTCAGCATCTGAGTCAGTCCCTGAAATGGGATAGATTTAAGCAACTTTAAAATTGTTTATGGTAGGTCTTTTCCCTGCACCTCTGAAGAAAATGGGGCCGCAGACATAGGAGCTCATAAGGGAATATGTTGTCCATCTGGGACAAATTTTCATCACAATTCATAACCTTGCTTCCCTTAGGAACTTCCTGGGCCATGGAGAACCCAGACATCCCTTCCAGCCAGGGGAACAAGTGCTGCTAAAAGATTGGAGAGAGAAAGGACCCAACCAGCGGCGTCAAGAAAAGAGGAAGGGACCCTATGGCATCCTAGTCATTACTTATCTACTGCATTAAACGCTGCAAACATCAGGCCTTGGACACACCATTACTGAGTAGAAAAGTGTACGCCTGAACAGAGAGGCCCTGTTTCCAAACCAGAGCAACAGCCTCAGCGGACAGTAGAGCTAGGATAGGACTTTGAAGCTGCTATTTAAGCAACAAAATAACTCTTATTAAATGTGTATTTAGAGTGGGCCTATTCCTATGCTAGTACATTCTATCACCCAAATTGTTGGATTTGTGGGCAACTTCTAGTCTCAAGAGCCTCTGGGCTTCCCTAACCGGTCTTATCCCTTCAGGGGACTGACTGGAAGCATTTAGATCTGTACATTCAAGAGTTCAGAGTGGGAAGTTGAACAGCTAATAGTAATGACCTAACTAATTAGTTGCAGCAATGGCCCATTAAGGAAACAGGCAGTGTGTTCCGTACCGGTCCCAATTACTCGACATCAAATCCAGGAGTTTTTGAGGGCTGTGGGGTTCTGTAGAATTTGGATACCTGACTTCTCCATCATGGCAAAACCCCACTATGAAGCCACAAAGGGGGGTGATGGGAGGCTGCTATAAAAAGGAGTTCAGCCACAGAGCAAGAAACTCATTTAGGCTGGGTCCAGCTTCTGTCAATAGTCCTTCTAAGGGTGAGGTCTAGTCCCACAAAACAAACAGGTTTCCTGCCTTTTGAAATCCTTTATGGGCGCCCACCCGCTCCTCTTAAGGACATACTTAAAGGAGTTAGGAAATCTTACTTTGAAACAACAAATGCAAACCTTAGGTTCAGCCTTAAATGCCGTCCAACATCAAGTCAGAGAACGGTTACCAATTAGTTTAACTGCCGACACCCATTGTTTTAAACCAGGTGATATGGTAAGGATAAAAAAATTGAGTGTACAGTCTCTAAAACCTCCCTGGAGGGGCACATTTACTGTCCTTTTGTCTGCCCCAACTTCAGTCAAAGTAGCCGAAATAATTTTCTGGATTCATTACAGCAGACTTACCTGCCCCCCAGGACTGGGAATGCACAACAAATCCGTCAGCTCCCTGTCGGCTGACCCTCCAGAAAGTCACCGAGGCTGATGGAAAACCCGAAGTGGATTCCCCAAGTCCTGCTCTAGCCAATCCGGGACTAGCTAGTCTCCGCTGGCTAGTCTACACACAGCTGAAGTTTGAGGATCCATCGGCCTTGCTTCAGTCACACACCGGATGCTGGCTGATCTACACACCAGCAGAAGTTGAAGAACTCAATGGATCTCACTGATAAGCCATTGTTTCCTTTGTCAGCCTTTGTATTTGCCAATTGCTATACTGTTTGTCGTTTTATTTGCAATAGGACTGCCGTTATTTGCTATAAAATTGACAGAGTTGATCCCCGCAAATTGGACATGTTGGAAAAAGGTCTCACTAGCATTTCTGTTCTTTCTTATATTAGAAAGCTTGCCCATGTCCCAATATAAAAATGACTCTTGGTGTAAAAATTGGCAATGGTTTAAAAACATGTTCTCAGGTCTGGGAGGATTTAAGTACATTATTGTATCTGAAATCCTATTGTTGGGATCCCATCTTACCCTCCCTTGCATAGCCCCAGTGATTATGAACTCCATCTCTAAGTCTGTGGAAACAGTTGAACAAAAAACTGCAGCCCACATAATGTTAATGCTCCAAATTGAAGATGATGCTCTTGACCCATGAAGGACCGAGCATCAAAGGGGGGAATGTGGCAGAGACAACTTAAAAACAGCTAAAATTATTCCTTTTAAAAAAATCAGCCTGCAACCTCCAAACCTGCTAGACATGGGGTGTCAGAAATCCAAATAGCCACAGGCCACTTTCCTGGAAATGCAAGACAGTAAGTGGTTCACAACCTTACCCTTGCATCCTCTCTTTGTGACGTTATCAGTTTACAACCCCTGCCTGTCATGTATACCCTGGAGACAATTTGTTCTTTGACCACCTTGCAAATTCCAAAGAAAAATGTATAACCATACAACCTAACCCCGTCTCTTACCTAAACTAACAGATAAAACCTCTCTCCTCTTTCTCCAGGTTGCTCAGCCTTGGAGCATCAGCCCGCTGAGTCGTGTTGGTGCTGATCAACCATTACTTCCTAAGATAGCCTCAGTGTCATGGTCTCTCTGTTTTCCCACAACATTTGCATTCCCTAACCTTAGCATACATTATCCCCTCCCCTCCACTCCCCAAAAAAGTGGCTACAGGACTTATTTAAGAAAAGAGTGGCTGGGTGCAGTTGCTCAAGCCTGTAATCCCAGCACTTTGGGAGGCCAAGGTGAGAGGATGACCTGAGCCTGGGGATTCGAGACCAGCCTGGGCAACATGGTGAGACCTTGTCTCTACAATAAATCAAAAAATTAGCTGGATGTGGCAGCGTGGGCCTGTGGTTCTGGCTACTTGGAAGGTTGAGGCGGGATCGCCTGAGTCTAGCCGGTGGACACTGGGGTGGCCGTGAGCAGGCCACTGCACTACAGTCATGGTGAGGAATGAGACTCTGACAAAAAAAAAAGAAAAGATCCATTTAGTGATATCCTTCCTCTGTCTTTTGTCTTTTCATCTGGGAAGATATCCCATTGCATCACAATGACTTGATTATCTGGGTCTTTGTTTCTCAACTTCCAGAATGAGAATAGAAAGCAGTAGAAAGATCAATACCAAGGTGGCCTTGACTACAAAAGAAGCTCATTCTTTAAACATGCTCTGGGTTTCAGCTGATACTCGACTGATACATATCTGCCCCCAGCTATTCTCAAACAGGAAATGTTGGAGGGCTGCATGATAGGAGGAAACATGTACTGAGAACTCTGAGGGGCTCTGAGAAGAGCACTTTGTTTAGAGTCTGATATTTGACTACGAATCAATGTTGACATTTTCAGTAATAATGCACAATAACACAGAAGTTAAGGATGAATAGTTATTTCTGGATGATGAGTTAACAGCTGACTTTTTATTTTCTCTTTATGTACATTTTCTAGATTTTCCTACCACCAGCGTTTTCTGTTTACTGTTAAAAATTATTTACAATTTTTTAAGAGGAAAAAAAAATCACAGTGAATTTTGTTTCTAGGATTTTTATTGAAATTTTGCACAGCATGTGAAATTTCAAAGTAATAGTTAGAATTTGAAAAGAATAAGCCTAGCACAGTGGATCAAGCCTGTAATTCCAGCACTTTGGGGGGCCAAGGTGAGAGGATTGCCTGAGTCCAGGGGTTCGAGACCAGCCCGGGCAACTTGGTAAGACCATGTCTCTATAATAAATCAAAAAAAAAAAAAAATTAGCTGGGCATGGTGGTGGCGCCCGTAGTTCCAGTTACTTGGAAGGCTGAGGCGGAAGGATTGCCAGAATCCAGCAAGTCGAAGCTGTAGTGGCTATGACCATGCCACTGCACTCCAGCCTGGGTGACAGAGTGAGATTCCAACTAAAAAAAAAAAAAAAAAAAAAAAAGGGGTAAAAAACAAAAGTGCACTCACCTTGGCAAAAGGAGAAAACAGACTTGACTGTGTGGTTATAATCATTCACGCACACATTTCAGAAAAGAAGGACTGCCTACCCCAAAGCCACCATTTTAGTAACACAGTGTAGGTGTTATGTCAGGCAGTGAACATGCCATTAAACCTGTGCTCAAGCTTGGCCACCCACTGGGTATCTGCTCCTGCCTCAGCAAAGAGCACTCAAGTCGGTCATGGAACAGCCATCGGTGCAGCACAAAGTTCGCAAATCTTGTCTTGCCATCACTGAATGCTTCAACTGTCCACCCTGAAGGCGTTCTTCCAAGGAGACACCCATTGTTGGATGGTTTTGTGCTGTGTTTTCCTCAGAAACTCCATGTTTATTCAGAAGCCAGAGGGAGTTTCCTTTCTCAGCTGGACAGATGAGAAAAAAAACACATCCTGTTAGAGAGGCTGCAGGAGAAGGCAACAACCACAATCTCCTTGGGGAAATGGATTTCTGAAATGAAACAGACTCCTACATGTAATTTTTTCTAAACGTGGGTCTGGTTTTAGGGAGAACAGACACTCTGGGACGAGCTCAGTCATTTTTACTCGCCTCATTTTACAGAGGAGGAAGCTTTTATGTGAGGAGGAGTGCACCCACTGTCATTTGGCTGGTCAGGACGTGACTTCTTTAGCGGGCTACCTCTGCCTGATGGCCCGCAGCTTCCAAAGTCATCAGTCATGTGCCATATACAAAAGACAACCCTATACATGACTTGCTAAGCTCGTCAGTAAGGAAGGGAAGTGGAGACCTAGACCTCTATATCTGAAAATGGAAAGTGAGCCCCACAGCTTTGATCTGAGCATTGTTCCCAAGGTTCACATGAAAGTGCATCTCTTGCTTCCATTTAATTCAAACATGCTTGCCAGTGCCCTAAGACACCAGTATGACCAAGAAAAACTAGGTGAATGAATGCTGGTTGGTGAACCAGCAATCGATCAGATGAATACCCCATAGGAAAACACTCTGAAAACCTGTGAAAGATTTAGTAGACAGTCTTATGATTTCAGTGGTGTCAGAAATTCTGAGATGGCCTTCACAAACATTCATTTCACTGTCCTATGTGTTCAGAGAGATTCCAAATGTATTTTATTTCTAGTGCGTTTTGGTTTGCTACTCTAGAGATTGCTATAAATCCTGATAAATTATACTTACTCTCTTAAAATTAAAAATTCTTTTTATTTTTAACATCTAGTCATATGAACTTCAATATTAAAGTGGTAATGGTAATAAGTTCATGATTTTTTTAAAAGACATTAGCCCACCCAAATAAAGACATTAACCCACCCAAATGACTGTGGGTCATTTTCTAAGATACTTTGTTTACCAGCATTATTTTAAAATTAAAGTGAAACCTTAACAATCATATATGAGGTTGCAACCTCTATCACATAACCCTACTTTTCTAACTTTTTGTTGCAAAACATAGCAAATATAACTAATTATTAAATAGAATTGCAAGCAAGGCACAGAAAGACAAATACAGCATGATCTCACTTATATGCAGAATCTAAAAAGTCAAACTCAAAAAAGTAGAGCGGAGAACGATGGTTCTCTGAGGCTGGGTCGAGGGAGGAGGGTAGGAGTAGCCGGAAGATCTTGGTCCAGGGTACAAAATTTCAGTTAGACAGGGGGAATCAACTCCAGAGATCTAGTGCCCACCATGGTGACTATCTTGGAAGTTGCTAACAGCAGATGTAAAGGGTCCTCATCACAAAAATATGAGAAGCGCATGTGGCAATGCATATGTTAGCTTGATTTGGTCATTTCACAAATATGTACATATTTCAAAACAATATATCATACTCAATAATATATATACTTTTTTAAAATAAAATAATTTTAAAATATAATTTTAAATAAATTTTACCTCATACTTTAACATAAGATTAGCAGAAATAATTCCAAACTTCTCAGTTAGTTGAATTGAAAAATAAAGACATGGGCTGGAAATAGTAGCTCACACCTGTAATCCCAGCATTTTGGGAGGCCAAGACGGGAGGACTGCTTTAGCCCAGAAGTTCGAGACCAGCCTGGGCAACATAGTGAGATCTCTACTCTACAAAAAAAAAAAAAAAAAAGAAGAAGAAAAAGAAAAATCAAAAGAATAGGCAGGCATGGTGGTATGTGCCTGTAGCCCCAGCTACTTGGGAGGCTGAGGCAGAAGGATCGCCTGAGCCCAGGAGATTGAGGCTTCAGTGAGCCATGATCATGTCATCGCACTCCAGCCTGGGCGACGGAGTAAAACCTTGACTCGAAAAACAAAACAAAACAAACCATTTGGAAAAAAGAGACACATGAAAGAGAAGCAAAGGAGATGTATGTGAAGTTACCTTGCTGTCTTTGAGGGACACCCTCCTGGTCTCGTCTCCACCTGGAGCTAGCACAGATGTAGATGACTGTTCTGACATATTCTAGCCCACAGAGCTTCACAGACTCCTTGCTCCTCACTTCTGAGATGGCAAATAGGGCAGAGAATAGAAATAGAGCGAAAACAGAGCCCTTCATCTTGGTGAGGACTGAGAGTGAATCCGATGTGGTGACTGTGGCCAAATCAAGTGTTGGAGTCGCCCTCACCCTCCTGACCAATTTATACTAGCAAGCCTGACATTGTATTGGCCAGAACCTCATTTTAACAATATTTGCTAAGCATATAAGTGACACTGTAAAGTTCTGAAAATGTGGTTTCATGATTATTGCCAGCAATGCAGTCACTCCCGAACTTACCATTGTCTGCACCTATGATAAACCAATGCTCTCTCGGACGGCATCACAGGAAACTCAGGACTTGGGAAGTAGCCAAGTATGAGTTTCAATTAGCCTTTCCACTGACTGGGTGACACTGGACAAGTTTTAAACTCTCAGAACCTCTGTAGTCATATCTATAGAATGGGAAAACCCGTCTCAAATGGGTTTTCTATTGAAAGCAACACCCATGTCAAAGTAATGGGGAATCACACTCAAGAACACAGGTTCTTGTGTCCTGAGTTTGAATCCTGACTTCCCACTTACCAGATCTAGCATTGTCAGCAAGTTATCTAAGCATTCTTCTTTGTAAAATTGTGCTGGTGATAGTAACCACCTCCTAGAGCTAATGGGATCGTGTGTGTCCTACTCGGCACAATTGCTGGCTGCTGCTTCTCTCACCATCAGAGCAGACTAGAAAAGATAACTTCTCTTCAGAATCTAGGAGAATTTCTCTGACTAGAATCTTCCTTGCTATCCTTCACCTACAACTCAGGCATACCTTTCTCAACACACATTTTTATGATAATAGAAAGTTTGTCCATAACCCCAAATAGCTAAATAATGAAATTTTCCTTTTGGTAAAACTTCTGAAAGCCAAGTTCTTTCCTAAACTGAGAACGGTGGAGTTGGGGATCTTAAAGAACTGCTGACTCACTTTTTAGAAAGCTGAACAAATAATTGTTTGGTTGATTCTATGGAATCCCTAAATGGCCACGATCCCTGGCTGGGGAAAAAACAAAACTATAGCCTGTTGTCAAGATCATACTGCCCATACTTCTTGTGAGTCTCTGTTTTCCTACAGGGAAAAAACAAAACAAAATATTCCCTGATGGAAAGCATTTTCGACTCTGAAAAATGGCAAATTATTTCAACGAATCGTGTCTTCTCCATCTCTTTGGCTGTAGTGGAAGATATAGATTAAAGCAGGCAGTGAGATATGATGGTCTAAACCAAGCCCACAACAGAGAGGGAAGGGCACAGGGGTATTCAAGTACAAGAGGGCTTGATGTTGACTGGATATCAAGGGCAATGGAGGGAGTCATCAAAAATGGTACCTGCATTTCTAGATGTACAACGAGGATGTATGAAGGTTATTTGCTATGAAAAAGACAAAGAAGTAGGAATGGTTTTATCATCAAGGTTGCTCCATCTTTTTTTTTTCTTTTTGAGTTGGAGAGTCTCACTCTGTCCCTTAGGCTGGAGTGCAGTGGCAAGCTGCCGCAACCTCAACCTGCTGGGCACAGGCAATTCTACCTCAGTCTCCTGAGTAGCTGGGACTACAGGCACATGCCACTAAACTGGGCTGATTTTTTTCTTTTATTTTTGTAGAGATGAGGTCTTGCTATGTTGCCCAGGCTGCTCTTGAGCTCCTGGCCTCAAGCAATCCTGCTGCCTTGGCCTCCCAAAGTGCCGGGTTACAGGATTGAGCCACCACGCCTGGCCTACTCCATCCTTTGATGAGTCTAATCAGTCTCTCTTATCAACTCCAGTCTTGCTGTAATTATCAGATCATGTTACTCCAACTTCAGAAACCCTCAGTGTCTCGCCAGTGCCTACCAAAGACAGTCCAAGAAATCTGGCATTTTTCCTCCTTCAAGGTCCAACCCGAGAGGACAACGAAAATGAAAATGAGTCTTTTGGCTGGGCACAGTGGCTCACGCTTGTAATCCCAGCACTTTGGGAGGCCAAAGCAAGAGGATTGCCTGAGCCCAGGAGTTCGAGACCAGCCCGGGCAACTTGGCAAAACCTCATCTCTACAGTAAATAAAAAAATTAGCCGGGGGTAGTGGTGTGCGCCTGTAGTTCCAGCTTCTTGGAGGGCTGAGGCGGAAGGATCGTCTGAACCCAGCAGGTAGAGGTTTACGGTGGCCATGATCATGCCACTGCACTCCAGCCTGGGTGACAAAGGAAGACTCTGACTAAAAAAAAAAGGAAAATAAATAATAATAATCTTTCCACCTTCTGACCAACCATAGTTTGTTTCTTATACCTCTCACTGGAGCTCTTAATCCTTGTCTGAAGACTGACTTGTTTAGTTTACTGTCCACATGGCTTTTAACATGTACCTTAGTCCATTTGGGCTGCTATATCAAAATAACAGAGACTGAGTAGCTATAACAACAGGCATTTATTTCTCACAGTCCTGGAGGTTGAGAAGTCCAAGATGAAGATGTCAACATGATCAGTATCTGGTGAGAGCTTCCTGTTTTTAAAATGGTTGCAAACTACCATTTTATCCCGTGTCCTCAGATGGCAGAAGGGGCGAGCTCACTGGGGTCTCTTTTCTAAGGGCACTAATCCCACACATGAGAGCTGTGTCATCATGACCTCTCCACCTCCCCCAAAATCTTGCCTTCTAATTTCATCACTTTGGGGTTAGGATTTCAGCATATGAATCTGAGGGAGACACAATATGTAATTGTCCTCCCTGAGTTTTAGTTTGACCATCTGTGAGGAGATAATAATCTGTGTTTTATAATGTTATTGTAACAATGGACTGAGTTAAAATAAGTACAGTCCCTGGCATAATACATGATGCTTAATAACACTCAACAAATTAATATGCTATGAGCAATGGAGAAGCTTCTATGGATGGCTTTTCTGTGCAACTCAATTTCAGAACTATCCATAAATTTGCACAGCTTTAGGCTTTTTCTGTCCTTCCTTCCTTCCTTCCTTCTTTTTCTTCTTCTCCTTCCCATCCTCTGTCTACAAATAAGTGCTAGTAAGGCAGAGACTCAGTAAGGAGATTGCTTCTTGAAGTGTTTCTTCAGGACATGAATCATTGCAGATGGTCTTTGAAAAGTTTTTTGTATTAATCCCATGCCAATAGTCCTTTTCTTTGAGATTAATAATGCCTACTAATATAGTGAAAGCTTGGGGAAGAAATTTCTTTAACTTTGTTTAATTCAATGTGTCCCCAACATATTTGATCCTGGAAACTCTTTCACCATGGGACTGACTCACATCTGGGATTGCCAGGAGTTTCTAGAGTAGACCTGTTTCTAGCTCTCTGTCCACCCTCCAGTAGTTTCCCGTTTCCCTCATGAAAAAGTCCAGATTACTTTAACAAGTATTTCATGATCTGGCCTCTCTCCACTCATTCAGGTCTGGTTGTTTCAGATACTCTCAAACTCTAAATGATCCAGTTATGTCAGGATTGTATTTCTCTGTTCTTTAAAATTGGACATGACTTTTTGACATATTTTGACAAATAACATGTGAGTAGAAGTAACATATGTCACTTCAACCTGAAATGTAAAGATTGACATGACTCATTAGCATTCCATGTACCTGCCGTGGTGACCAACAACATTCCTGATGTTGGATCCGACCACTGAATCAAAACAATATGGAGCAAAGCTACCTGTTGACCTATAATGAACATGCAATGTGGATAAGAAAGCAAGCATGCTTTATCACTTGACATTTAGGGACTCTTGGTTGTAACAACATAACCTGGCTTATCCTGACTAGTATGATTATCTTAAAGTTATTTACATATTACAGATGCAGAGAATGTTTATAAAACAACTGATCTTACTTTGCTTTCATCTATAAACCTAAATGTCCCCCGCTGGTTGAATGGGAAATAGAAAATGTGATACACACACACACACACACACACACACACACACACACACGAATATTGTTCATCCATAAGAAAAGGAAATTTTGCTATTTGCAACATATGGATGAATCTGGAGGACATTAAGCTACGTGAAACAAGTCAGACACAGAAAGACAAATACTGTATGATCTCACTTATGTGTGGAATCTTAAAAATAAAATCAAACTCATAGATGCATAGAGTAGAACAGTGGTTGCCAGAGGCTGGAGGGTGGGGAGAACAGAAAGATATTGGTCAAAGGGTACAAACTTTCACTTATAAAATGAGTAAGTTCTAGGGATCTATTGTACAGCATGGTGACTACAGTTTCTATTACTCTATCATTTACCTGAAATTTACTAGGAGAGTGGACCTCAAGTGTTCTCAACACACACACACAATGGTGACTAAATGCGATGACAAATGTATTAATTCATTTGATTGTGGTAATCATTTCACAATGCACATTTTGAATATATACAATTTTATTTGTTATTTATATCTCAGGAAAGCTGGGAAAACACAAAACTAAACTCAAAATAAAATTAGCAACTGAAAATGTTTTTAAAAATGTATCTTACAAAATAGAGATGGCTATTTCAAGCCTTATTTTGTATGGACAGAGTAACTATTTTCTTCTTATGTTTTTGTTGTCATTTTGGGCTTTTATAGATAAAGACAATAAGTAAACAAATAAATAAACAAACATACATAATAATTTGGGACATTCAGTAACATTATCAGTGAGTTCTGAGGTAAGACCCCCAGAATATCCTGACATTCTTTGTTCTTCCTGGTAATAATGACACCCTATCTTTTAACAGTTGATTTACACAAGGAAAATATAGACATCGTAAAACTACATTTTTCATGAGTTGTTCTGGATGCTACATAAATGTCTCATCCATTTAGAACAAGCAGTGCTCATTTTTATAAGATTCATAACTATGTTTTATATGTTTCAACTTAACATACACACTGTGCTTCATATTTAACCCAGGAATTAGTTTTGTGCAAACTGTCAGCCTTTCAGTTTTATCACCAAATGAATATGTCAACCTAAGGAAATAAGGACTAATAGCCTAGTGAATGTTCTATGGATTTGCAGGTGGATTTAAACATTGTACAAATCCTGCGCAAACAAGACAAATAGCCTCAATAGCGTATGAAGGAACAGATGAGGTCATTAGCATGGTCTACAGGAGGAATGAGGCCTTGGCAAGAACCCAGTCAACCCCCCGGGTAAAGAGGTCCTCAGACCGGGACATGGGGCTGTGGCTCTGGGATCTTCAGAACGAGAACGGCCACTGTTGAGTCGCTTACTGTGGACTAGACATTTTGCTAAGGGTTCAACATCGGAGATAAACTGTTCTTCAAATGGTCGACAGTAAGACCATCTCACAAAGCAGCTGCAATACTCATCAGAAGAAAGGGGTCACAGATTAGTTTATAGCTTTTGTCTTGAGGGGGAAAATTGATTTTTTTTTTTATAAAACATGAAAGCTCTGACTATGTTATTAATTTTCCAGGCATATTTTATGTTATATGTTTTACACAGTTCCAATGTTTTACCCTCTGTGATGTTAAGATATTTTGGGAGGATCTTTACAAAGCAGGAGGCATCACACTTTCAGACTTTAAACTTTACCATAAGGGTACAATAACCCAAACAGAGTGGTATTGGTACAAGAACAGGCATAAAGACCAATGGAACTGGACAGAAATTCTGGAAGCAGAACCTCAATTTCTCAACCAACTCATCTTCGACAAAGACTCCACCCTCAACCACTGGGGAGAGGAGAACCTTTTCAGTAAATGGTGCTGAGAAAACTGGCTGACCACATGCAGAAGATTGAAACAGGACCCCTACCTATCACCATACACAAAAGTCAACTCTAAATGGATCAAAGACCTAAATCTAAAACCTCAAACTACAAGAATCTTAGAAAATGCAGAAGACACCCTTACAGAAATTGGAGTAGGCAACCAATTCCTGATCAAAACCCCACGTGTCCATGCCATAAGAGATAAGATAGACAAGTGGAACCTCATTAAACTGAAAAGCTTCTACAAAGCAAAATAAACCATCAAGAGAGTGGGGAGACATTTCACAGAATGGGAAAAAATATTTGCCAACTGCATATCTAACAAAGGCCTAACATCCAGGATCTACAAGGAACTCAATGTGCTGAAAGGAAAAAAATAAACAGCCCCATTAAAAAGCGGGCAAACGACATGAATAGACACTTCTCAAAAGAAGACATACAGGCAGCCAATAGACACATGAAAAAGTGCTCAGCCTCACTCATCATCAGAGAAATGCAAATCAAAACCACATTGAGATACCACCTACCCCAGTAAGGATGGCCATCATTAATAAAACAAAAAACAACAGATGTTGGCTAGGATGTGAAGAAAGGGAATGCTTCTACACTGCTGGTGGGAATGCAAACTAGTGCAACCTCTTTGGAAGACAGTGTGGTGATTTCTGAAAGAACTAGAAATTGACCTCCATATGACCCAACAATCCCCCTACTGGGAATATACCTGGAGGAACTCAAATAATTCTGCAGAAAAGATACCTACACATGCATGTTTGTTGCAGCTCTATTCACAATAGCAAAAACATGGAACCAACAATGATGCCCATCGAAGCTGGACTGGATTTTTAAAATGTGGTACATACACACAATGGAATATTATACAGCCATAAAGAAGGACAAACATATGGTCTTTGCAGCAACATGGATGAATTTAGAGTCAATCATACTCAGTATCTATCACAGAAACAAAGAACAGAGTACCACATGTATTCACGCATAAGTGGACCCTGAACATTTTCCATAATACTATAAGAAAGGGATTGGCAGGAGCGGGATACTGCCTGGTGGGGTGGGGATGCAACATCAATAAGGGTACCCGATCTCAAGCCAGGCAAGGTGGGGACAAAAGGGAGGCCCAAACTTTACCTGTATGGTGACCACTTGTATACCTAATCCTGAATTGTACTTCACACCTTTAAAATAAAATACAAAATAAAAGACATTTTGTTTGGATCTTGAGGAAATTACATTTACAACATTTGACCACCTGTGACAAGGGCAAACGTGGAATCATCATTTCCTCATTAATTTGACAAATTCATTCATTAACAAATATTTGTTGCACTCTACTCTTGGAGGTATTGTTCCAGGTGCTGTCATTACAGTGTGGTGAACAAGACACAACAGTCCTCCCCTCTGCAGTGGAGGAGAGAGGCAGACACTCAGCAATTGCCTCCACAAATAAACATTTAACACAGCAGGTATGGGGCTCAGTTTAGAAAGCCAGTTATCCAAGATATCTATTTTCTAGAACTCTGTTTAATTCCTGATTCCAAGCTTCCAATATCACCCACTTGACAGAAAGCAACAACATACACAAGTTGATGTCAGTCCAACTTGGGCATGGACCCCTTCGCCTTCCCTGGGCATGACTGTGGCATCTCACTTGGTGCCAAGTCTCTCGCATCATCAAGACGGGGTGCTCCCTCAGTTGCCTGGCTTCCGGTTCTAGTGGTTCTGCTGCTCTGCACATCACTTGTTGCAAGGAGAATGTTTTCCAAACTTGCCTGTGGTCTCTCCTAGGTCTTACTTCTGCCTGGACAATGATTTTCAGAAGCAGGACATGGGTTCCCTCTTCTCTATTAATCCGCAGGCCTCCCTCTTCTCCACATTCCCCCAGCCCCTCCATTCCAGAGGAAACGTCACATTTCTCTTGATTTTGAAGGTGCTTGATCTGTTCTCAAATGCCTTTACAAGTCCTATGCTTTTATATAACAAAAATGAGTGCCTTTGATTTATTGTCATTTTACATATCGCCTTACTTGTAAGCCAGAGCTACAGAATTGAGAGGAAAGATATAATGAAGAAATGTCTCCAAATATTATCCCTCAATATTAATTTCTGAAATAGTGTTAAGAGGGAACTGCATGGTGGCTTGGGAAGAATTAACAAAGGAACCAAATTCAGTCTGGCTGGGCGTGGGGACCTATGGGAGGGATCTCAGGAAGGGCTCATCTGAGAAGGTGGGACAGGAACTGAGATCTGAAAGGTGAGTGAAGAGTTAATATGCTGAAGGAGGCTAGGCTAATTGTGTAATTGTGGCTCAGCCTGTCATCCAAGCACTTTGGGAGGCCGAGGCGAGTGCATTGCCTGAGCCCCTGAGTTCAAGACCAGCCCGGGCAACTTGGCGAGACCTTGTCTCTACCATAAACCAAAAAACTAGCCGGGTGTGGTAACATGTGCCTGTAGTTCCGGCTACTTGGAAGGCTGAGGTGGAAGGAATGCCAGAGTCCAGCAGGTCAATGCTGGGGTGGCCGAGAACATGCCACTACCCTCCAGCCTGGGCGACGGAGTGAGATTCCAACTCAAAAAAAAAAATCAACATTTTCTTAGAGAGACTCTTATTGAGACAAAATGGCAAATACAAAGTGTTCTGCTTTTTCATTTATAAATGTATGTATCTACATGGAGGTGAGCCCAATGAATACATACAGTATGACCCACAATTACACAGTAGTGAACAAAACCTACCTTTCCTGCTTGAGCTGGAAGAGCAGCTGGCAGCTTACTCCCAGACAATCATAACATAAGCTCTATAGGAGGGGCCCCTGGGAGAGAAATGGCCGATGAAGTAACGAATGCCTGGCACAAAACAGGAGCCTGAGTGAGCACAGTCACCCCTCCCTCCTGCAGTCCCGAATCAGCACGCTCGGGTGTGTGTGTTTGAGGATAACATGAGACGGCAACTGGCCAAGCAGAATTCGCACTAAATTCTTTAAAACAGAGTTTACTACTACGGATCCAAAGCCATCCTAGAAAGTGAGCGAAATGACCCTTCTGAAGTTCCCAGGTATTAAAGCAAAAATGGATGCTAATCTAAAAGCATGGGACTGCGGGGGCAGAGTAAAAAGGTGAAAGGAAGAGGCCCAGTGCTTCCGAGTCAGTTGTCCAGGATCTAATAATATAAAAAGGAGCACAGTTTTTTCCAATTAAATCAAGTTTTTATTTTCTTACAGAAAGTATTATAGAAAGCCAACCTTTCAGAAAGAAAAAGACAATCACACTGACTCATATCCAGGACTGGTTGAAACAAACTGCATGGACTAACCTGTCAGTAGCCTACGGCTTAGGGGAGTCACTGCCCCCAGTCCCCGCTGTATTTTCATAACCTCACTCTAGTGCCCTTCACAACATGACATCCTGATGCGGCCTACAGGTCAGAGACTTTCTATTTTCTCTCTGTGTCCGTTTAAGTCTGGGCTTAAAACCAGAGCAGAGTCTGGGCATGCAGAGGAGGGTGCCCTGATATGTCCCAGACTAATTTTTCTCACTGAATTAGGGATGTGATGCCTGCCAACCAAACAATGTAATTCTGGTATTTGCTGTCATGTTGTTTGATTGTCAAATAATATAACAAAGTTCTAAGGCTTCAGCTCTTAGTTCTAGAAGGATAAAATGTTAGGTGTGATGATCCACTGTTCTCATCATATTAACAACTGCATAATTACCAACCCTGGAAAACAGAGCTTGGAAAGCAGAAGATTTAAAAGCCAATCGAATTTTGTCTTATAAAGACTTTGGTTTAAGTATTTCTAATAATTTCAAAGTTTTGCTTCTAAAGGGATGATAATTTTCTAGCCTGTTGGGACACTTTATAGGAACATATATGTACTCATATGTACTTAAAATATGAGCGAGAAGCAGAATAAAAACAGCTTTAGGAAAACTCCAACAAAACTCTGACTTAAAATAACTCTTAGCCTAGATCACAAACCAAACATCTCTAAAATAAAATTTCACTAAATCTATGCTACATTTAAGTGGAAGTTATACATCAAATATTGTTTTCTAAAATAAAAATCTGACTTGCAGCATACAATGCAGAATATTGGATATTAAACATGGCTTCTTTTTCTTTAAACAACAAAAAAGATATTTGGATGATGCATCATCCTGGTTGGTTTGACTTGGGTCCAAGCAAAGTATCTATTATATTTCCCTGAAAAGAAAAAAAGAATAAAGGCACACAATTACAATGCAATAAAATGTAAATTAAAAAGTAGTCTTTAAAACACCATTTAACATTTATAAGTTAGTGATACACATATAAAGAACATTCTATAAGATTATAAAGAGAAAACAAACAAAAGTAAATTTAATAGTGATGGTTACTTCCTAGAATACACCCACTACTTCCTATGAAAGGCTTTTAATGAAGCATGATAGTTTTATAAGGATTCAGTAAGGGGACAATTCTGGCAGCTCCTGTTTGGCCTTAATGTTGAAGCCTAAGTTTCCTTATTTGTAAAAGACCTGCTGAACTTAATGGTGTCTTAAGCTCCTTCCTGAGAAGAGAACTTTTTGATTTCCATGTGGGTTTGTTATTTTCATTTAATTATGCTGATAGCTGTACTAAAAGGGGTACAATGAACAAATATAAGAGGATGAAAATCAAAGCTGAGAAGTGAGTTTTTAAGGATGATGGCAGAGTATAGTGAAAAGATGAGCATTCTCTACCACATGGTAAATATAATCTTGAGAAAATCACTGAACACTTCAAATGCATAATGAAAATATTAACATCTACTTCTAAGGGTAATGAGAATTGAGTGAATTAATTTACGTCAAAGTGTTTTATAAACTCTAAAGAACTATCAACACTTCATGTAAGTCAGTTCCTGTGTTTTAACTTACTGAAAGGACAGGCCAAGAGTGGGAAATGCATTTTTCTTTACTCTTCTTCCTAAATCTTAATACAATGATGAGAAAGTAGAAGCTATGCTTTTGGAGAAATGCACACTTTAAGTCAAATTAACTTTGCCAACTTTGTCTTTTTAGGAACAGACTTCCTGGAGTCAGGTATCTCATAGTGTCAATCAAGCTTGCCCAGAGTAAAGGGAATTTACAAGGCCTAAGATATCATACATTGGTCAAGAACTGTAAAAGTCATGAAACTTGTAATTGCAAAAGTTATGACCCACCCAGAGGGGGAGCGGGTGGGGACTTAATCTTCCAGTAGAATGGGCCCTATCTACAGGGAAGTCAAGGATCCCCCCAAACCTACCTACTAGGAATGCCTAGGAGACAAGGGGAGGTACACCCTCCATTAGGTCTAAGGAATGTCATTTGGGAAGGTGCAGGAGAATTAGAATCCTTGTTACGCCCTTCTCTAGGGGCTATGATAATGTGGGCGGACATTAATGGGTCTCTGTGTCACAGGTTCTTCAGGACATCCACAGGTGGTCGATAAGGAAGTCACGGCAGTCACGTGCAACATCTCCAAGAAAAGGATTTAAGCCAGGATTCTGGGGGGCTATGACTCCACACTCACCTGGAGTGTAGACCCACTCCTTGTCTGTGGGGGGTGAACTTTTCTTTTCTCACCTCTGTGTGTTGCAATGCTTTGCAATTTACTTGGATCTCTGGGTTGCCGGCGCACACCTCCGGCTTGCCAGCCCCGGCAGTGCTGCACACCTCCCTCCACCTCTCCACCCTCACCCTGTCCATCAGTACCCTAACACCTACATTATACTACCTTTGACACTTCCCCACGGTTCAAGCCCTGCACACCAAATCGATCGCCAAGCCCTGTCAATTCTAACCTTAATGTGTTTCTCAAACCCATCTCTTTCTACTTCAGTCTCTCACTTGGGCAAATATAATAGGTTGCTACTATAATTTGTCCAACACTGTATACTTAGTCACATAGCAAATACTCGTTGAATGAATACATGGTCTGTTTTTTGTCTTCAGTGTCTGTCAGCATTAATTTATAATATATATTACAGATTTATGCTTTCAAAACTCTATTTTGAACATTTCACTTATCTTTTTAATGAATGCAAAAAATGTGGCAAATATTTGTATACTGAACCCTAACAGTAAAAATGCTATCCAGGAGTGATTCTTTACAGGCTGACTCCAGACAAGGACCTGCTTCTGCAATTCCCCCTTGAAACTGACTTCTGCTAAGAGCTTAAATGATAATCCTGTTCAACACGATTTAGACACCCAGCAGCCAAGCCTCATCATGCCAGAAGAGCTCTGCTTCCCCAGACATGAATGTTAATGCAACGGTAAATCCTGTCAACAGTTGGCCACACCACAAAGTCATCATTGCAAGCTGAGGGTTCTAGTCTCCTGTTCGTGCCGAGCATCAGGTTAGTGTTACCCCCCACCATGAGCCCTGAGCTTGTAGGACAAGGCGGAGCCAACCTCCTGCCCTATTGTATCACAGTAGTAGCCCGGCCCTTGGTATCCTCAGGGAGGGCCAGAGTTTCAGAACTCGCGTCGCCTAAAACAGCTAGAGTCCGAGGATCGAAGTTCTGCTGTGCAAGGTCACAGTGAGATCAGAAATGTAGAGGGTAAGCAGAGATGTGGTCCCCCTGCTGCTGCTGATCCTTCCTCTGAGAGTTTCCCCCCATGAACACTGCTCCAGCATGTCTGGTGCATGTGCTGTCTGGTGCTTTGGCTTTGTTTGTGAAATGCAAATCCACCTCCAATGAACAAATGTCATATTTGAATATTTTTAACAAAGGAAAACCTGACTGGTGAGAGTTAAAGTCCTTGTATACACCTCCCTACTCTTGTTCTTCCCTTATCCTCACTTCCCAGAGGAAGCCTTTATCATAAGTGGGGTGCACATCATTTCTCCAGAATGAAATCAGAAGCTTTCCAACACTTTGATTCACAGTTGGTTGAAACCAATGAAAAAATTATAGGTCTTAATGTTACTTGATATGGTATCTTGATAGGAAATGCTTTTGACATTAGTTACTTTAAGACTTCCAATTATCATTATAACAATAATTCTCTAAAAGCTAAAGCAGAAAAGGTATATCAGTTAAGCATGGGTTTGACGTAAGTAACAAAACACCTGATTAACAGTCTTTTTTGTTTAATCTCCTAAAAATATAACCCTAAACCTTTCAAATACAGCAACCAAAATGATGAGAAACATATTTGTATCAGGAATTTATATTTATTTACTAATCTAAGGAATCAATTTGTTAAAAAAAAAAAGATTTAGCTCACCAGCCTTGAAATCACTCACACACACACACACACACACACACACACTTACCAAAAATATTCAGACTCTCTAAGTTTAGCTTTCTGTCTGTAGAGCATACTGCTCAAAGTAAAAGATGTTTCTAATCAATTCAAATTCAAACACAAAAATGAAGCATTTTTCTTCTATGTTCGTCTATATTTTATACTTTTACTAATAAATGTGTCCACTAATAATAGTGTTTCTATTTTTGTGTTTAAATAATATTTACATAATTTGTAGCATATTGCACTTACTTTCCTGAAATTTGCATTTATCACCCAATTCTGCTATTTAGATTTATTCAAAATTTGTCGTATTAACACATTAAGATATATCATTTAAATTTCTGTATTGTAGTCACACAACTTACAACGCCATCTTTTATTTATTCAGTCACCTACTGATGATCATTTATGTTGTTTTCAATACATCACTTTAGAAACAAGGCTGCTATAAACATTGTTTTCTCATTAGCATGCTTTTCTCACCATTACCCACGAGTTAAACAAAGTCCTAAAAGATATATAGAATCTAGCAATATGCCATTTAAACATCTATAAGGGTTGTAGTCCTACCAAATTGGAAAACTGTAATAATTTAGAATGTAATGACAGTGAATAAATGAACTGAAGTCAATCAAGTGATGTGCCAACTGGGGCAGGGTTGCAGACTCCGTGAGAAGATGGAGGACTGAGGCAGTATGGAACTAGACTTTAGGAGACGTGGGCGCTGAGGCAACTCCATGCGGAGTGTATTGACAAATCGACTGCAAAATAGGCTCAGCCTGGCAGCTAAAGCTAATTGGGAAAAAAAATCTAGAAAAAATCAGATATCATTCCCTGGTTAAAATCTCAAGTCAATACTCATGTTGGTTAGTTGAGAAAATAATCTCCGAAAGTACTTATAAGGTTATTTTTTTAACCCTGAGAAGAAACAACATTGTGTATAGACATGATGTAGCAAATCAAACAGATAATTTTAATATTTTCTGATTTAAGGAATGTATACATACTTGATTTTGAAATATTAATTATATATAAGAGAATTTGCCATACTAGATTGACTAACAAACATTTGGTTATTATATAAATGTGTAACTGGGTAATTGATTTAGACTGGAAATCATGGACTAAAGACTGAAATATTATAAATTTGTAAACAGTGGCCAGGCTCACACATGAAATCCCAGCACTCTGGGAAGCTGAACCCAGGAATTCCAGACCAGCCTGGGCAGCATGGCGAGAGCTCATTTCTGTAAAAAACCAAAAAATTGGCCGGATGTGGGCAGCGCATGCCTGCAAAAAAATAAAAATAAGAATAAAAAAATAAATTATGAACTTTCCAGCAACTTGGATGTTCTTAGAGTCTATAATACTAAGTGATCTATCACAGAAACAAAGAACTGAGTATCACATGTTCTCGCTCATAAGTGGACATTGAACAATTATCTTTAGTATAGAAAAGGATTGTCAGTAGTGGGAAATTGCTGGTGGGGTGGGGGCAGGATTGGCAGTAGTGGGATACTATGGGAGGGGCACACCTTATCAACAAGGGTACCTGCATAATGAATATTAATATACTTAAGCCCGAATTGTACCCCACATCTTTAAAATAAAAAATTTAAAATAAAATAGTCTTGACCCTCCATTAAAAGTTTAGCCGGGCTCGGTGGCTCAGCCTGTAATCCTGCGCCTTTGGGAGGCTGAGGTGAGTGGATTGCCTGAGCTCGCGGGTTCGAGACCTGCCCAGGCAAATTGGTGAGACCTCATCTCTACAATCAATCAAAAAATTAGCTGGGCGTGGTAGCGCACGCCTATAATTCCAGCTACTCAGAAGATTGAGGCGGAAGGATCGCCGGAGCCCAGCAGGTCGAGGCTGTGGTGGCCGGGAGCGTGCCACTGCACTCCAGTCTGGGCAACGGAGTGAGACTCCAACTCAAAAAAGTA